CGGAAGAGGACTTACTACCCTCCATGTGATCCAAAAGAAAAAAAAAAGAAAAAGAAAAAAACTAAAACTGATACCTACATTTTATTTTATGGCTTTGTTCGACGTTGAATTGTTCCATATTGTAGTGTTGATATTGACCTAAAACATAAAAGAAAAGAATTAGTTTATGATTCAACAAATTGAATGATTTCACATAGAGAATCATTCATATTTATACTCCAAAAAAGTTATGGGGAGAGAAGATCATTCAATTTTTTTTAATGGATGTATGATTAAAAGATGAATTTCATTAAGCTTTAATCGGGACACACAGATACATTGAGATAAAATTCAATTACAACTATCTTAATGTATGGGTGTGGATAAAGCTTAATTGATATACATATTAATTATGCTATGTTATCATTGATCATCAATGATAACATGAACGACGACTTATGGACGAGAGAAGACAAAAAAGAAAATTATTCTCTTGACCTTTTTCTTTTTCTCTCACTTTTACATTTTCAATATGTGTACAGAATAGACGAACACGCCCGCATACTCACATGTAAGGTATGTTGTCATTTGTTATGTTGTTTTTCTTTTAGAGTCTGTTGAGTTACTTGTGAAAATATTTTGTTGTTGATAGGCTCGAGCAATGTTATTATGGCAAAAATTAGATTTGCAGAAAAGATCATGAAATGACCCAGTCTCAAAGATTCGATATTTTTCAAAGATTTTACTCGTCATACACTTAAGAAAAAAATCTATGTATACTTCTTCGACAAACATTGTTTGATTGTTCGATACAATAGCAAAGTCTGAATACAAACTCGCTTCTCAACAATCAAACAATAGTTTTCAAAAAGAATACGTAATTTTTTTTCTTATTTAGCAGTCGAATAAAATCATAAAAAAAATTATCGAGCTTAACGAGATTGAATGCCTGCGGCCTTTTCAGTTTTCATAGACAATTATGGAATTCTTCTCGCACTAAACTATTGGGCACTGTTATTGAATTTTAATTGCAACAGGGATGAACTAGTTTAATTTCCTTGCGTTATATTAACTCATTTATACACAGCGTTACTTTCATTTTCGGATGAACTACTCTTTTAATTTGAATATTGTTTTTCATATAACTTTTATTTTTTTCGAATAGATTTTAGAAAATTTTATGCTAAAACAATGGAAGCGATTTATATATTACATGAAAAAGATATGGACGCTCGTTTTTATGTTTATGTTAGGGTAATTTCATTTTATTGAATAGATAATGTAAAAAATAAAAAATTATTTCGAATGGATTCATAAACATAAAGCTCAATTACGTAGACAACATTAGCTGCATTTAATGATACGACCTATTAAATGTTTACTTAAATATACATCAACAGCATATATTGATTATCAATTATTAATTGATTTATTGGACTAATAGTATTGAGATTTGTCTAGTAAGAAAGTGATTCCGCCAGTATTAAGTACATTTTGTTGTTATTGTTAAATTTTTGGTCAGAGTTCCTTGTTATACATCGTGATTATATAGAAAAATTTCAAGTTATTGAACTTTTACAAGAATTAGCAACAGCACGAACACATTTAATCGTTTCTTTTCTTCAATTGTCTTGAATATATGTTAAGAACACCTAGTATGAAAACATTTTACTTATTCAATTAAGGAATATTCAAAGTTTATTTGATATTCAACTATTATCATTAACAATTGATGGTAAAATTATTGACAGTTTTTGTTTCGAAGGAAAATAGAGTGAGTGTAAGTTTTAGAGATATGCTAGACGAAAATTTGAACGTTTGCTGAATTCTTACTCATCATATTTTCATTAGAATTTATTTCATCTTTCTCAAGGCATCCTGATGGTGAGCGTTTATGAATAAGTCATTATAGACTTTTATCTTAAGAGTGGCAACTATGAAAGATCAGACCTGTATCCAACTAGCTCTATTGGGAACTACGAGAAAAGCAGTTGTTCCAACTGCAACTGAAAGTTATAGTTAAATATTCTATAGCTTTAAGTGTATAAGTAAAAAAACACGAATATTGAAAACCTTTTTAGATGTGATAAGAGTCAATTCTGGAATAGTTTTCTCTAGACGGAAACACACCCTCATATCCTTTTTGGGAGATAATAAAAGAAACTCACCCAAAAGAAGTATAGAGACTCGAGTATGGAAAAATATGAAACTCATAGTAATTTTAAAAGCTAAAAAATGGAGTAAAATCTAATTTCTCACGCATTTCTTATGGTCTAGTAAAAACTTTTCACTTCAAGTATTTTGTATGAATATAATGAGAGTAAAGAACATATGTAAGTTCTATATTTTAGTTCTTAACAAGTTGTATTGGCACAATCTCTATTTTTATTTTATAAAATTTTTCTTATTAAAGAAACTGAAAAATTCGGAATACTTTGTTCGATTGAAGGTCAAATACGTCAACATATATTTCGTGTTATTAATGAAAATACAAATACTAGTAGTCATAGTTCAAAGTCTTATTTTACTGATTCAATGTCTTCACTATTACCGATTTCAACATTATCGAATAATACTCATCATCATGGAAGTAATAAAACTTATGTACTTTATCAGTTAGCTAAAGCGATTCTCGTAATGTACAATTTTTATTTTAGTCTTCACTTATTCAAACATCACTTGAGAATTTAGACATTGGTTGAGATTTACGTTCAATTAATTGCCTAAATTTATTAAACTTCGCATTTGAGCGGTTTGAAAATTTTCATTTTTTTTTAAAATTAATTAATGTTGAAATTTCAGTGGTCTTCATAAAGCGAAGAAACGATTAAGTCTAGCTATTCCATTCAGTCCATGATTCAAGTAAATAAATGAGTGTATCATTAAGACAAGTAAGTATTTCAAATGAGAATTTCTCATAATTAAAGTAAAACATTCAGAAAATTTCGACTCATCTGACAACTGATAAAGGAATCGGAAATGCGTGTGCTTCCTAAAGTTTTGGTCTACTAGTGAAACTCATCGTGATATCTCATTAGTATCAGAAATAGCCAGAAGAGAAGATATCGTACCAGCGACTAGTGCTTCAATAGAAAGATTATTTAGCTCAGCTTGATTAACATTGACTCAATGACGAATACGTTTATGATCAAGTCAAAATTTTCAAATATATTATTTATTCTTTCTTGTTGTCTACCTGTTGATATTGATTACATTTTGAATAATGAATATTTTGAGTTTTTGTTTTATTCAGCTTATGAAATAGTATGGTGACCGAATATTCTGATTGGTTTTTTCGTTGTTTTGAATTTAGTGATACTTAGGTCTGACCAAAAGTTGTGTCATCATTAAGTAAAAATATAAAGATAAGGAGATATTTTAATTTTATTTTATCAAATGTTGAGGATAGTTGCCAGTATTATTTATTACAAGATCAATCTTTTCTAGCAATTAATAAAAAGTTTTTTTTGAACTATTTTTGTGTAAAATTTTTAGCTACCTTGGTAACCGCATGAACACATCATATTTCATTTCTTTAATCGGTTAGACTACGTCCGACACAATCACTTAAGCATAGATTTACATAGTATCAGGTCTGAGAAATATGATAGATGTGACATTATATTGATGTCTCCTTCTGTCAAATAATTAATAAAATTGGACGAGTATGAAGTCAACGATGATCGTCAAGTAATTTTGAACATTTTGAATCTGATGTCTTTGTTTGTTTTCATATTATATTAACAAAAGGCGTCAGACACTTTTCAATATAATACTTGTAACCTACAGCCTCGCCTTTATCTACATTCAGGACTATTTGATTTAAAGAATATACGAAACAAAGTTTTGATTCAAATCCGTCTCCATGAGCAATAGTCTTTGACGATTCATCTTCAATATGCCAGCTAGCATTAGATGACTTATAACTAACCTATCTAAAATAAATCCATATCGCATCACTAGTAATGTTACAACGCAACTGACATAATCGAACAAAATTTCGCTAAATTTTTAAAACAAATGAAACATGATTAGTTCATACAGTTTTCAAGGTAGCTAAAAAGTTTTTCAGAAAAAGAGTTCAAAAAAAGCTTTTAATTAACTGTTAGAAAAGATTGATCTTGGAATAAATAATACTGACAACTATGCTAACATTTGAAAAAATAAAATTAAAAATATCTCCTTATCTTTATAGTGTTATTTAATGATGTCAAAACTTTTGGTCAGACCTAAGTATATTAAATCATGAGAAAAACGAACGAAATAAGAACCATTGTTTGGTTCAATGAGCGTAGCTACGAGGAAAATAAAAGTGACTTCTACTGAATTACTTTTAAAGTAATTCAAAACTAGCTTTATTGAAGCCCAAAAGGAAATTTAATAGATGAACAATTCAATAATTATTCCTTTATGTAGTGGTGAGTTAAGCTTGCATTAATTGATGTTTGCACTAAACAAAATCAATATTTTCATCATTCATAACTTGTTTAAATTGATGATGCAACAGATTTTCAGTCTTTTTTCTGCTATGTAAATATATAATTAGATAAGAAATTCTGTAGAACTAACTTCATGCTATAAAGTTAGGTTTTGAGTTGAAAAAGATAAGAATGAGCCGAATAAAATTTTTGTATCGATTTCAGTTTGAAGTTGTTTCAAACATCTACTTCTATTATGAAATGTTTAAATTAGAAATAACTCATGAACACATATTTTCGAAATTTATTGTTTTCCCTAATAAATATCCAAAACAGGAAGGAATATTTTATTATAACACTTTACAGTCGAAGCCATGCTGAAATAAATACCTTCATAAGAAAAGTTAATATAAAGTACCTGTGAGAATCTTTCGTTTTACTTCAATGTGATTTGTATGCCAAATTTAGTATAATAGTTTTGGTGCAAGAAAGTACTCGGTACTTATCTCAAGAAAAATCTTAGTATTCTTTGAGGAAAAAACTCTAAATGTTTTGCTATTCTCGAAGAATGAACTGTCACCATTTGCAAAAGCAGGATATGATTAAATGTCAATGTAATTTCTCAACAAAGTTCATCATCGAACATTATTCAACACATCATCAAAATTTTTCTTACTTTTTAGTTTAGATGTTAAATAGACGAGATCAATTTTTAAATAAAATCTTATCAAGAACTTTTCCCATCTATCGAAGGACAATCGTCAGATGAGAATAGGAAAAGTTGACTGACGAAATATGGTTGTTCCGAACCTTCGTTCTTCACATATCGAAATTTTATTGGATGTTTCAGCATAAAAACACGTAACTCACCTTAAATTATCCAGAAAATAGAATTTCGACTTCAAACTTTGCATGAACAAAGTTCTTAACGAGATTCGTTAATAAAGAAAAATTTCGATTATTCAATATCTCAGGATAGAAAAAAAGAACTAGAAAAGTTACAACATGCCCAAAGAATTAATCTAATGTTTATGCAAAATTTGATTTCGAAAGTCGATTTTTCATATAACCTGATAGGACTACAGATTTCCGTAGAAAAACAACGAAGGTCCGAAAAGCAAAACTATTCTAAACTTTTCTATTACTCATCAAATGAACATCGTCTCAGTCGAAAAGTATATCGTTGTTTCAAGTTGAATTTTTGTTCACATTTAGGATTTGTTCATGAAAACTGTTCATCATTTGAATTCTTCGCCATTTATACAATTCATTCAAGAACATAAGTTCGTTGAATATTACCTTTAATTTTTTTCCATTTGATTTCTATACTTTTACAATGAATGTATAAACTGATAAAGCAATCACTATCTTTGTTTTACTCAAAACAGAAAATTTGATATGTTATTATCATTTTTTGTTTCTTTTCGATGATTAATCTACATTTCGGAATAACTTTGAATCTATGATTAAAGACACCATCGACGCTCAATAAATCAAAATCGAATGTAAACATATAAGAAATGATTCATCTATTGTATCTAATATTATGTTTTTATGAAACATGATCTGAAATGAATGTTGAAATATAAAACACTTGTGTAACTGAAACAATTCTCTATAAGTAGTAACAGATCCGAAGACTCCAACAGAACTGGTTGAATTAAGACCTTCGAAAAAAATTTTATTTTATAGAGGAAAATAGGGCGCCACCGAACTTTCCATGCACTCCTTTCATAGACTTGTTTTTGATCTACGAAGAGCTCGAAAAGCAATTTGATGAAGAAAGTTCATGGAGAGTTTGGAGACGTGTCATTTTGCTCTATTCAATAAAAATATTCTTCAAAACCTTCGAATAGATACAAGAAATCTGGTTTTGGACGTCTTGATCTTCCGCAGATCCTCATTCAAGTGGTTTCGTTGAGGTCTTCGAGCCTACTAATCCTGATGAAGAACCCTTTTAGTTGCACATCTCTCTGTTGTATCAGAGACAATGACAGGTTTTGTTGATATATGGTCGAAGGTCGTGTCTCAATATCGTCTAGTTAACTACTTCCTGATTGCATTTCTGGAGCATCAAGTAACTGAATGGTGAAGAAGTCTCTTCTGAATTAGACTGAATAAAATAATTTCCTGGTCATTAGCAACAGCTGCTTCAACATGTTTCACAATTTAATCCCACACAAAATTCACTAGCAGTATTATTATTATATTTTTTGTTTATGAAACACCAAAGCCTGATATTCGAAATATTATGATGGTAACTGTTTTACGTTACATCAACAATGTACCTCATTTGGATATTCTTACTTGAGCTTTATTAAATGCTGATATTTTCTTGTGTGGTAAAATCAAACAATTTCTTATTCATCTTTTCATTGTTAATGCTAAATTTAAGGTATCGTCAGTTGAAAAATTACAATACTATGTATTTATGGTACTGATGAATACAGTACAGCAACTGAAACAAAAGCATTGTTGGGACCGAAATATGTACCACGAGAAACTTGCGATAGATATTTTGATTTACATTAAAAAATTTGTAGACAGTTTCCATGATAACGTTGAACAATTATATTGTGATAATTGTCAACGGTACAGAACTTGTTGGCATATTTTGTTCTAATTTTCTTTTTATATATTCATGTATTTGAAGTTTTCGAGCAGATGATTATGTAGCTGGTGCATGTGCAAATGCAACATACAAATTTGTTGATGTTTGTAGTGACCAATGTGATAAGTGTGTAAATATTAATTAATGATGTCGAACGTATTGATTTTTCGTTAGACTGCTCGAAATTGGTCAGCCTATGATCAATTGATATAGAAAGTACCAATTAGAAGTTCCTATATAAACACTAACAACATGTCCAGAAAACATTACAAAGATAAATGGAACATCGTAGTCAGTGCGGTATTCAATGAATGAGACAACATCCTAGACCTAAATAATTTATCCAAGACTACGTAGTATAGAAGCGGATTATATCATAATAATCTATAGTTTTAATGACAAGACCATATGGTTTTGTTTCTTTAATTCCATTCTGTTAGACTTGATAGATTTTCATCAGAAAAATCACAACTAGTTACAAATTCTGTATGTTCGAAATGAACACTTTCAACAATTGTTTTGGACGGCGCAAAAATTATAAATACCAAAAATTGTTCATCATTATCTTCTGATCATTCTAGATAAAATAATCATAAATTTCAAAAATACAAACTTATTCGAACTATTTTAAACGTGAATTCGGATAATTTTTTTCTTAGTCGTTCTAATTTAT